GATCGTGCCACTGTACTCTAGCCTGGGCAATAGAGTAAGACTCTGTCTCAAAATAAATAAATAAATAGATATAAGAAGCAATGATTTGGACCCAAATATCAGTAGTGCTGAGGTTTGAGAAATGAATTTTTAGTAGCCTTAGCACATGGTTTGGACTTGCTTGCTGCAGGATGCTGGGCCTGGAAGATATAAGATTTCAAGCAGCCAGGGCTCCTAAAGAATGACTGAGTGACTGCTTTCAGAAAAGTAGGACAGAATCAGCAGAAAAACAATTTGATGAGGCTGGGCGCGGTGGCTCACGCCTGTAATCCCAGCACTTTGGGAGGTCGAGGTGGGTGGATCACGAAGTCAGGAGTTCGAGACCAGCCTGTCCAACATGGTGAAACCCATCTCTTCTAAAAACACAAAAATTAGCCAGGCGTGGTGGCATACACCTGTAGTCCCAGCTACTTGGGAGGCTGAGGCAGAAGAATCGCTTGAACCCGGGAGGCAGAGATAGATGGCAGTGAGCCGAGATCACGCCACTGCACTCCAGCCTGGGCAACAGAGCGAGACTCCATCTCAAAAAAAAAAAAAAATTAATGGTGAACTTGGGACTGTATTATTGTACTATTAGCCTCAACAAATAGACTTGGGGTCCAGCAGCTGTGCCAAGCTCCCAAATACCCACAAGCCTGAACTGTCCATCCCTTTTCCTTGTGCAACTTTGCCACCCACATCACCCACCATCCCTCGCCTTTGGTCTTCACTGGGGCAGCTCTCCATTCAACTAACTCCCCTGCGCTTAAGTTAATTATCTGAGTTTTCTCTGCAGCTTAATACTTACCAGGCCTCAGGGTGTCTACTTTTCTTTTTTTTTTTCTTTTTCTTTTTTTTTCCCCCCGAGACAGAGTTTCGCTCTTGTTGCCCATGCTGGAGTGCAATGGTGCCATCTCGGCTCACCGCAACCTCCGCCTCCCAGATTCAAGTGATTCTCCTGCCTCAGCCTCCCGAGTAGCTGGAATTATAGGCATGCGCCACCACACCCGGCTAATTTTGTTTTTTAGTAGAGAAGGGATTTCTTTCTTGTTGGTCAGGCTGGTCTCAAACTTCCGACCTCAGGTGATCAGCCTGCCTCGGCCTCCCACAGAACTGGGATTACAGGCATGAGCCACTGCACCTGGCCCCGTGTCTACTTTTCTTTGTCAGGCTGAACAACTCAGGACACAGATAGAATTTGGACTTAGGTCCATGTGAACCCAAAGGGCCATGCTCAAGTGAGCAGCCGGCACTGCCTCCCTGGAACAGCCAGGATTCTGGGAGGGATACTTTGTACAACATTTTATGAAATGTTTCTGGCCTCCTTCTAGACCAGAGCAGGAAGGGGTAGTTAGGATATTCTAAACACCAACCCCCTCTACTCCATCCCCAGGTTCGTGACAACTTTTTAAGCTGAGCATACTGCAATCACTTAATTCTTCTAGACATAAGATAAGCCAGTAGCCACGTCCACTCTGAGCCTGTGAGTAGGCAGGATCAAGTCTAAGAGCATCTCTTCTTTGGAATCTTAAGGTCTAGGATCCCAGCAGTTTTGGGGTCTAAAGAATTTTCAGGTTCCCGAAACTCCCTCTATTTTTAATAATTTTAAATGTTTCCCCAATACTTAGCTAAGCAAAGAAGGAAAAGGTGTACTTTTATTACACAGTCAATTCTGGATAATTCTAGGGGAAATTCTTCCAAATCTCTGCTTTCTTCTTTTCTCCCAGACCCTTCTTCATTAATTCCTTCAGTAAATATTTGTCTGTGGCCGGGTGCAGTGCTCATGCCTGTAATTTCAGCACTTTTGGAGGCTAAGGTGGACGAATCACCTGAGGTCGGGAGTTTGAGACCAGCCTGGCCATCATGGTGAAACCCTGTCTCTACTAACAACACAAAACAGCTAGGCATGGTGGTGCGCACCTGTAATCCCAGCTATTTGGGAGGCTGAGGCAGAATTGCTTGAACCAGGAGGCGGAGGTTGCAGTGAGCCGAGATCACGTCTCTGCATGCCAGCCTGGGTGACAAAGCAAGACTCCGTCTCGGAAATAAAAAATAAAAAAATTTTAAAAACTATATATATATCTGAACATATATATATCCAGATACACACACACACACACACACACACACACATATATATTTATCTGGCACCTACTAGATGTTTGGGTGAGGGAGAAGGGACAAGATGGAGGAAGGTGAACAAGAAGGCATAATCCATGTTGCTTCCGGGTTCTTCCTCACCAACTTTCCCGTGCGCGGGAAAATGCAGCCCGCCCCGGGAAGATGCAGATCAACTCAGCATGCGCCAGGTGATGTCAATCCGAAGAGATCGAAACTTACCCGGCCACGCCTACAGAGACGCCCCTATCACGCCCTTATCCCGCCCACTGCCCTCCCCCTTCCAGTACCAATGCATAAAAGTCCGCTGCCGGCAGGAGCCGGTGTGACTTCTTCGGCCCCCCACATTCATGGACCGGAGAACATCACCCGAGAGCGCTGGCATGACTTCCCTGGCCCCCCACACCTGAGGACCAGAGAACCTCGTCCGAGAGTGTATGCATATTTGCAATAAAAGACTGCCACTTAGAACATCACCCGAGAGCTGGCATGACTTCCTGGCCTCCCACACCTGAGGACCAGAGAACCCGTCCGAGAGTGTATGCATATTTGCAATAAACTGCCACTTATGTACTTGGCCTCATGTTTAATTACTTAGCTCTCCTAAAGTTATAATAAATAAATTAAATTAAAACAGTTGGTGCCGAAACCCTGTTGAGTCAGAGATAGGGAGAAGCCAGGAGGTAGGGGAGTTGGTGAGGGGAGCAGTCTTGGTGAGCAGGAGGTGGAGAGATGGAGACGGAGACAAAAATGGAGATGGAGACAAAGAGATACAGACAGAGACAGAGAGAGGCAGAGATGGACAGAGACAGAGATGAAGTATACAGGGATGGAGAGAGACAGATAGAGAGACAGAGGTGGGAGAGAGACAGAGATAGAGAGAGACAGAGGTGGAGAGACAGAGAGATGGAGAGAGACAGAGATGGAGAGATAGGAGAAGACAAGAGAGATGGACAGAGACAGAGATGAAGAGAGACAGAGTAAGACAGAGATTCCTTTTTGCTACTCTACGCCAAACTCTTCATGGTAATTGGTATAATACCTCAGCAGGACCCAGGACGCCTTGTTGGAGGCTACTTTTGGTGTAACCAAACTCTGTCTAAAACTCTTAACCATACCTCCATCACCCAGTCCCTTTGCGTTCCGGTATCTTTAGTGCCTAGCTTAACCCTATATAGCAAAGGAGAATTGTCTGAACTAGCCCTCCCAGCTCAGCTCCAGCAATAACATCCAAAAGCGGGCTGTTTTTTCTTTCCTCAATTACTCGGGGTTTCTCTTAGCTTCAACAATTCTAATGCCCCCTTAACTCTCGGACTCACCGGTATGGCTACTGCCTGTAGTACAGCAGATGCTTCCATTCCTAATTCCCATACTAATCCTCTGCCTTATGTTATGTCTTGCTCCCATTCTAATAAAATTTCTCCGAGCCAAGGTCCAAGAGATCACCCAAGTCACCTTCAACCAAATGCTCCTGTATCTCTACACCCAACTGCCAACCTCAGACTCCCAATCCACGCCTTAACAGCAGGAAGCACAGACAGATAACAGTGCCCCACCCTCTCTTATAATCAATAAGAGGTTGGACTGTTTGGGTGGGAGGGAGGGAAGGATAAGATGGAGGAAGGTGAACAAGAAGGCATAATCCATGTTGCTTCCGGGGCCTTTTCCTCACTAACTTTCCCGCAGGCGCTGGAAAAAAATGCAGCCCGCCCGGGAAGATGCAGATCAACTCAGCATGCGCCAGGTGATGTCAATCCGAAGAGATCGAAACTTACCCGGCCACGCCTACAGAGACGCCCTATCACTTCTTATCCCGCCCACTGCCCTCCCCTCTCCAGTACTAATACAAAGTCCGCTTGCCGGGCAGGAGCGGTGTGACTTCGGCCCTCTACATTCGTGGACCGGAGAACATCACCCGAGAGCGCCGTGCACGACTCTGGCCCCCCACACCTGAGGACCAGAGAACCTCGTCCGAGAGTGTATGCATATTTGCAATAAAAGACTGCCACTTTCTTATGTACTTTGGCCTCATGTTTAATTACTTAGCTCTCCTAAATTAAGTTACATTAAATTAAATTAAATTAAAACACTAGATACCCCAGGTACCATGGTAAGCACAGGTGTATAGTGATGAAGAGCATTTTCCTGTAAAATATTATCCAGGCTGACTCCAAATTTTAGTACCTCAGGTAGGAAAGGGAGGAGAGTGTTAATAAAATGTTTGCCATGGAATTTCACCAGCGTAAAAACAACTTTCTGGGAAATAATTATCTGCACTTCAGTTATTTGGAGTGGTACTGGAGGGAATCTTTACAAAGGTGGTATTAATGGAGAAAAGGAAGGGAAGGATCCTTAGTGATGGATTGTTTTTCCAAGCAGCTCAATCTAGTGGATTTCATATATATATATATATATATATGTGTATATACATATATATATTTTTGAGACAGAGTTTCGCTCTTATCACCCAGGCTGGAGTGCAATGGCGCAATCTTGGCCCACTGCAGCCTCCGCCTCCCCGGTTAAAGTGATTCTCCAGCCTCAGCCTCTGGAGTAGCTGGGATTACAGGTGCTCACCACCATGTCCAGCTAATTTTTGTGTTTTTGTTAGAGACGGGGGTTTTGCCATGTCGGCCAGGCTGGTCTCAAACTGATCCACCCACATCGGCCTCCCAAAGTGCTGGGATTACAGGTGTGAGCCACCACGCCCAGCCAGCATTTCCTATAAATAAATAATACACATATCTTTCCACATCTGAGAACTACTAGTGAGCATCAGTTTTAGAGATAAATAGAACAAAGCTCCTTTTCTGCAGTAAGAATATATTAGCTTAATGTTGCTTTTTTAAAAAGTTTCCACTGACCTTAAAAACACTGAAATCCAAGAAATTGGATTCTAGACTCTGAGGGTGAGGGAATCCCAGTGTTGTGGATATGCGGTCCCATCAACAAAACAAAAAGGAAATGAAGAAAAAACGGGACAGCAGCCTGAAATACTAGAAATCCAGGTCCCTGCAGGAAGCCCAGGGGACTGCCACGAACACAGCCCCATCCTGGTCACGTGATCATCTCTAGCCTTCCCCCGGGGCCTGGAGACAAAGGAGAGGGGAGGAGACTTGGGGACAAAGAGCAGGAGCTGTAGAGTCTAGCCCTGGGGTGAGGATGCCACTGCTACCGAGGTCTGAGTTTCTGCCTTTGTTTTTTAATCTTTCCCCAAAGGAAGTTAAACATTAATCCAAGTTGTAAAAGGACTAAGTAAGCAAAGGTGCCTGTGAGGACCTCTAAGGGCACCTGCTCGTCCAATCTGCCCGCCACACTGAGAGCAAAGCGTAAAGGGGAAAGGCTTTCACAACCAGCTTGAGCCCCCAGCCCCTCCTTTCGGGGTTCTTCCCTGCCTTTCAGAGTGTCCCCTCCCACTTCTCCTTTGGATCTCCGGGCGAACCTCTTTCCTTTCTGCCTCCATCTTAGCATTTATGTCTTAAGTTGCCGTCCCTATGCTGAAATAAATTCATTATAGAAAAGTATGCTCCCTGATAAATGGGTATCACTTAACGGCCAGTGGCGAGAAGGGAGATAGCTTTTGTTCTTTGATGTTCTTAAAAAAAAAAAAAAAAAAGCAAATGTCATGATAATGAGGCCAGTCTAGAAGACAAGGTGAAAGCCGGACAGAGATTCAGGTCCCTGCATGGCTGTGGAATCCATTTCTTCTGGGTACAGTGAAACTACTTCCCCTAGCTTGCCATTTATGATGATTTCCAATGTTTGGAATGTTTGTGACTCTTTCTCTCTCTTTCTGTCACACACGTGGGTACAGTGAGAGCTAGATGCAGTTTAGAAACCAAATCTCTGTTGAACAGACTGTTAATTTAAATTTTTGAAAAAAAAAGGAATAAAAATTCTAGTTCTATAGTTCAGTGTTGAGTTTATTTGCCTTGTCTTTTTATTAGGAGTTTTGCCTTTGTCTCCTAACTGCTTCTGTTTCTCTCTGATTTCTCTTGTGGCTGATGGAGAGGAATCTTGGTATTGCTGGTTCTTCTGAGACTCCTGGCGATGCTTTCCCAATTACAGAGCGAAAATACTCATTATGAGGCCAGTTTTAAAAATGGTCAGCTAGGCAGATATAAGGTTTTTCTTGGTTGTTTAATGAATCTATAATTAGCTCTGAGGGCACCACTTTTCTTTAATTTTGTTTTTGTTTGTTTTTGTAATGGAGATACTTAACTACAATAGGCTGAACACAGTGGCTCACACCTGTAATCCTATCACTTTGGGAGGCAAGGCTGGAGAATAGTTTGAAGCCAGGAATTTGGGTCCAGGCTGGGAAACATAGTGAAACCCAAGTCTCAAATAAAAATTTAAAAAATAATAATTTACATGCAATAAAATGCACAGCTCTTAGAGGTACAGAGAGTGTTGACAAAAGCATACATGTGTGTAGCCCACACCTCTATCAAAATATAGAACATTTCTATCACCTCCTAAAGATTTCCTCATGCCTTTTCCCAAGGGAGGGGACTCCCAACTCTGTCCCTGTCCCAGGCAACATTGTTCTGATTTCTGTCACCACAGATTAGCTTTGCTTGTTTTAGAATTCTGTATCAATGGACTAATACAGTATGTACTCTTTTGTATATGGCTTTTATTACTTAGCATACCTTCAAGACAAAGGTACCTTTGATGGAAAACCCCCACAATTTATTAAGTGCCCTATGTATAGGGTCTGTTCGTAAGCACTGTGCTTGGTGTTGAAGAAGTGCGGTGGCTTTCTTCTGTGTCAACTTAGCTGAGCTGGAACATTTCCCAGAATTCCTGTCCCTGTATATTCTGGGTTAGTGTTGGCTACAAGAGAAACTTTCAGTGTTTGGAAGGTGTAGGAAACAGCAGATTTTTTTCTTTTTTACTGCTCTGAAGATAAAGTGCAGGCAGCAGGCACTGAGGCAGCTCCCATGCCTTGTTCCAGTGATGCTTAGTTCACCGGCATGAGGCTGTGTCTGGACCGCGGCTCCTCTAGCCCCGTCAGAACTTCGTCAGCACTCCTAGCATGTAGGTTCAATGTGGGGAGAAGCAGACCTGGGTTCCGGTTGTCCTCGTGAGTTTCCATGTATCCTCATTCTTATTCAAGTCCAGCTTTCTTTTCCAATGTCAGTGAGGCCACAGCGACTTTAGGCTAAACACTAGATACAGAGGCAGCAGTCTTGTTCTCCACCAGTTCCCACAATGGAGTGATTCTATATCATCCCTCTGTAAGTCCTTTATCCTCTACCCTTCCTAATGGCTCTGCTTCTCTGATCCAATCCTGACCGATTCAGGAGAGACAAGACATCAACATCCATGTGGACAACACATCCAGCCAAACCAACCTGGCCTCCTGGCTGCTCAGATTTGGAACCGATTCGCGATTACCCGCTGTCCAATTCCGCAGTCCTCTGCTGCAGCCACACGCTGGATGCTAAGGACCCTTGGAACTGCTCCACCTCTCCATCTCCCTGCACAAATTTCGGGTTCCTCCCATTTTCTTTTTTTTTCCTTTTTTTTTTTTTTTTTTTTTTTGAGACGGAGTCTCGCTCTGTCGCCCAGGCTGGAGTTCAGTGGCCGGATCTCAGCTCACTGCAAGCTCCGCCTCCCGGGTTCATGCCATTCTCCTGCCTCAGCCTCCCGAGTAGCTGGGACTACAGGCGCCCACCACCTCGCCTGGCTAGTTTTTTGTATTTTTTAGTAGAGACGGGGTTTCACCGTGTTAGCCAGCATGGTCTCGATTTCCTGACCTCGTGATCCGCCCGTCTCGGTCTCCCAAAGTGCTGGGATTACAGGCTTGAGCCACCGCACCTGGCTATCTTAGTGATTTTTTTTTAATCAACTTTTTTTTTTGAGGCAGGGTCTCACTCTATCACCCAAGCTGAAGTACAATGGCACAATCATGGCTCACTGCAGCCTCGATCTCCCAAGTTAAGGCGATCCTCCCACCTCAGCCTCCCAAGTAGCTGAGGCTACAGGTATGTGCTGCCACACCCATTTAGTTTTTGTAAATTTATTTTTCTTTTGTAGAGACAGGGTCTCACCATGTTGCCCAGGTTGGTCTTGAACTCCTGGGCTCAAGTGATCCAAGGCCTCCCACCTCAGCCTCCCAAAGTTCTAGGATTATAGGTATGAGCCACTGTGGACCCTCTAGATTTTTAAATGATGTTATTATTTGCAGTAATTCTTCATTTCATAGGAACTTAATCTCAGGGCACAGCATGAGATCAGAACTTTAATGCATTTTTTTTTTTTTTTTTTTTTTTTTTGACACAGAGTCTCTCTGTCACCCAAGCTGGAGTACAATGGTGTGATCTCAGCTCACTGCAAGCTCCGCCTCCTGGGTTCACGCCATTCTCCTGCCTCAGCCTCCCGAGTAGCTGGGACTACAGGCATCCGCCACAACGCCCGGCTAATTTTTTTTAAATTTTTTTATTTTTAGTAGAGACAGCGTTTCACCATGTTAGCCAGGATGGTCTTGATCTCCTGACCTCGTGATCTATCCACCTCGGCTTCCCAAAGTGCTGGGATTACAGGTGTGAGCCACAGCGCCTGGCAATGCATTTTTTTTAAAAATCATTTTTTTCCCAAACCATTGAATGAATTATAAAGATGAGCCCTTGACTCACACCTCTAATCCCAGCACTTTGGGAGGCTAAGGTGGAAGGATCACTTGAGGCCAGGAGTTCCAGACCAGCCTGGCCAACATGGTAGAAACCTGTCTCTACTAAAAATGCAAAAAGCAGTCAGGCATAGTGGCATGCACCTGTAGTCCCCGCTACTCAGGAGGCTGAGGCACTAGAATCACTTGAACCCAGGAGGCAGAGGTTGCAGTGAGCCAAGATAACGCTACTGCACTCCAACCTAGGTGCAGAGAGATACTCTGTCTCATTAAAAAAACAAAAACAAAAACAAAAAAGACGAGCCCTCAATTACAAACTTCTTTTGGAATCAATCAGAAGTTATTAAGTGCTATAGTTTAATACAGAAATAAACATTTAAAGTTTTGACATAAACTTTAGAATTGGCAAGAGCATTGAGTTAATGCATACATGTTAGCTATTACATCACAAATTACTGAAATGTCATAGTTTAATGTCAAATTATTACAAGTTGCTAAAAATAGACTTGCATGGGAATCTAAAGTACAGAAAAAATAATGCTTAATTATTAGCCAAAGTTCTCTCTCAGCTGAAATGTTTACTCATTGGTCTGCCATGAATGCTTTCAAATAATAATCATTCTCTTTGGTGTTCAGGAAAAGATCAGTATCCAGACTTGAATTTGGGAGCTCTGAAAGGAAAGCAATGGACTTTCCCTCCAACACTTTTGGATGTTTTTATGGACTCCCTCAACCCCATGGGCCCCCACGGCATGGGCCCCCACGGTACCCTCATGATACTTTTGGGAACCATGATGTCTCTTTCTTCTGAAGAGCTCAGTGCTGCATTCTGGTACTATTGCCTGATATTAATATGTAGTTATTTATTTTTTAACTTTATGTGTATGTCTGATCCCTCCCAACTGGGATGGAAGCTCCTCAAGAACAGGATCTGGCTTGGCACAGTAGCTCATGCCTGTCATCCCAGCACTTTGGGAGGCTGAGGCAGGAGGATCGCTTGTGCTCAGAAGTTTGAGATCAGCCTGGACAACATGACAGAACCACGTCTCCATAAAAAATACAAAAATTAACTCGGTGTGGTAGCGCTTGCCTGTAGTCCCAGCTACTCAGGAGGCTGAGGTGGGAGGATTGGTTAAGCCTGGGAGGTTGAGGTGGCAGTGAGCCATGATTGTGCCATTGCACTTCCAGCCTGGGCATGACTCTGACTAAAAAAAAAAAGTAAATAAGTTACAAATTAACACCATACCAGCCTGTGCTTCAGTACAGGGATTAGAAAGGTCCTAAAAGGCCCTGATGCCTGAAATATATCTCTCAAAGACATGCTTCTGTGCCTTAGATTCCTCACTATTGCTTACTTCTTTTATTTTTATTTACTGATGTATTTATTTATTTATTATTTATTTATTTATTCTTTTTTTGAGAC